GGGGGGGCTACTATGCAATTTTCCAGCTGAACGTGTTTGAAACAGTCCACAGGTGGGTGAGCCACAGAAGCCCACTGTCAAAGAAGCTTGCTGTTAAACATTGACATCCTTTATGTAAATTGATTGAAAGTTTAGTAGAGTGAAAATGAGAGAAAATGGGTGCAAAATCAACAGGAAGAGTTACTTCCTTATAAGGATTTTAAAGCAATGCCCCTTAAAGATTTTGTAGAAAATTTAAAAGCCATGGGAAGGTACTGGAGTCAGTGCTTCAAGAGCCACCACAGGATAAACTGTGGCAAAACGGGAACAAGTCAACCTGTTTAAGTTATATACAGATATGAAAGAGTTTAGGCTGAGCTTTTCATTGATGTCAACTTTGTAAAAATAAGACAAAGAGTCAAAGAAGATATGACCATTTGAAGGGTGGCGATCTGCAAACAGCATTAAGAAGAAATCAGCTGTAGATTCTTTAAAATCACCCTGGAAGGTGGAACATTAGCTGTTCATTTGAAGACCCTGAGATGCTTGTTCTGACCCTTACCTCCCCCAGCTTAATGTCAACTAACTGTAGGGTGAAAGATGATTGAGAATCTACACAGGCAGTCATTATTTGTTTCATGTATTTGGTTTTTGCAAGTATCGCTTTGACTGCTGCTTGGCCAAAAATTAACATCTTGGTAAAATTGTCAAATGTTTTTCAGCAATCAATGCGAGTAACAATTGTGTAAAAGACAGCTGTTTGAATAGGCATTAAACTATAAAAGATGTGATGCTGTCACTTGTATACCCATAGATTGTTATGTATAGAGGGCTTTATTCTAACAGCCTTATTCTAACAGCACGTCAAGGATGAGTTTTAGTTTTACATTATTTTAAAAGAGACCTGCAAGTGAGAAGGCCAGGAGATGAAGAAGCAGAGCGGAGCACAGCATGGTGTTGAAGCTAGAGCCACCTGGTGGGGTCACAGCTAGAAACCTGGATGATGAAACATGAGCAGGACCTCTTGGTTTTCCTACATGGGATGACAAAACAGAGAGGAAGAACATTTAAAGCACAAAACATCTCTGGAGAGTAACACTGCATGAATACGCTTTACTTTTTTATGTGCTGTAAGAATATTTTGGCTTTTAGTGAGAAATACTAAAAGTATAAAAGTTTTTTTTTTAACCATTTCAACAATAACACTAGTTTTAGACACTAGATTTGAAAAAAAAAACAGCTTGCTTTCTCTTACAGCACTGTATGATGATTCATAATTCACAAAAACTGAAGAGCAAATTTCCTGCGAACTCTTTATATGTCTCTCTACTGCAGAACACCCACTTATGTTTTTTCAAGACATTTTGGCTCATATGTATAAACCTTAAACTTTGTGGTCCTTCTATCCTTAAATTATAGTAGAACCTTCAGTTCACCCTCACAAACAATTACAGGTGCTTGGCTCCAGCTACTCAGAGATCCACTTCCATACAGAAAGCCTACATTCATATCTTCAGGTAACACAGAGTACATGTCAGATATAATAATATTACTTTAGCGATAGTTTCAAGGTGTTGCTTTATTGTATGTCTCGTACCATGTCTTTCAGTTGCGCTGTTCTTTTTTCATCTCGTTACAGGTGATGAAGCAGACTGAAAATGTTTTGTCATTATCTCCTTTCTATCTCTTCTTTCTTTCATCTTTTTTCTTCTCTTTTTTCCTTTTTCTTCTTCTGTTTTTCTGCTCTATTTACATTGCAGTGTCCATATAAACTGTAAAACTATAATAAAGCAATTTATACTGTATGCAAGAAACAAGTGGAGCTATACAGCAATTGCCATACTGCTACACTTGTGAAAGTAAAATCTGTTGGGCTCTTTTTGGCATCAAGAAAATTATTCTTATTGCCACATTGCCAGACAGGACACTGTAAAAAAAAAAAAAAAAAAAGAACCTTCAGTTTCATTTAATTAGGCTTTTAACAAGTAAAGCATCCGTTTTCCCGAAAGAAAAAAAAAACTAGAGAAAAGAGTAAAGCTAAAACAAAAAGTAGTTTTAATATTATATAATTTATCCTTGCAATAGCACAACTAAAAAACTGAAAGTCTCTGACCACTTGTGCGCTATGCTAGACACAGCATGGACGCATTTAATGAACATCCATCCATCCATCCATCCACCCATCCATCCATCCATCCATCCATCCATCCATCCATCCATCCATCCATCCACCCATCCATCCATCCATCCCTCCATCCATCCATCCATCCATCCATCCATCCATACATCCATCCATCCATCCATCCATCCATTTGCAGCTTTTAACAGGCTTTAATAACCAATCTCTCACAGTGTCTGTGAACACATTATCACATGTCTCCGTTTCCTGTCAGCCTCAAAGGCAAAGTCCCCTGATAAACTGACATTGAATGATTGACATGTGGATAATTGTGGGAACATTCTTAAATTGGACGCAATCACTTTCCAAAAGATACTAACAGGACCGTCTCTGTGTTTGATGCCCACCGGCTGAATTTAGAAAAGACAGCTGTCTCAGTTAGAAATAAGGTTTTGCATTTTATCAGAGTAAAGACATCTAGAGCCTTTAAAGGCAAAGCTTTCAAAAGCTGAAAAGGCTGAAAAAGATAAATACTCAAACTATTATGTATCTCTGGTTAAAAATGTTAAGCTATGACGGTTTGATTGCTTGAATGCAAAAAAAATGTTAGTGTTTATTATGGAGAACTGTAATTGTTATACCATATGTAAAATGTCAGAGTCTTGGTATGTTTGTTCCTGTTTTTCTTGGTTTTCCATTTGTTGTCCTCTGCTGCCCTCTTTTGTCCTCCCTTGCTCTGTTTCTCTGTTCTGCCTGCACCTGTTGTCAATTTCCTCGTCAGCTCTCTCTTTGTCTCTGTCCCCTTTAAAAGCCCTCCCTCTTCAGTTCCTGTTTGCTGGATCCTCGTCTTACTTCCCGTCTATCATCTGCATGCCCTGTCTTGTCTCTCCCTGGCTTCTGGTTTTGGTTAATCCCTGATGTCTGCTTGGTTCTGGTACTTTTGTAATTTTCAGTTGGACTCTGATTCCTGCTTCTGGATCTGTGAACCAAAATAAACAGACTTAAATTCACCTCTGCCTACTGGTCTCTGCGTTTGGGTCCTCCATACAAACATCTTTTCATGACATAAAATACGTTTTTAAGCTTTTATACACTTTTTGTACAAATTGTATTTTCCACCATTTGTTTTCGTACAGTACATAAACATGATTCATGGCGTAAAGATAATTTTGGGTCAAAACACAAACAGTTTTGCTTTTATTTATAAACATTGAAACTATGATATTTTTAATCAACATAATGCTACTTTCAGTCGATCCAATAAGTCCTCTAAAGGAGCTGCTCATTCAGAGAGCAAGAATATGAAAGATTTCTCAGGGGCTATTCAGAACAATAATTACAAAATAAAAAAATTCACAGCGCAATAAAAACATGTAATTCCTCTTAGTTAATTAATCACACAATACAAGCTCAGATGTAAAGAGTTTAACTGAAATGAAAACTTTTATGCTTCAGCAGCAAAGGTACAGCGGTAGACAAAGACACACCAAAACTTTAAAGTAATTTTCCTGAAACCTGTTTTCAACCCTACTTCCTGCTAACTAAAACCTCAGGGGAAATTAGGCAGAAAACTACTACCTCAGAATGAACTGAGATGCTTGTTCTGACCCTTAATGACCCTACTGCAGCTATCTCATTTACAACGCGTGTACCGTCTGTGTCAGAAACCCCAATTTAACATTTATCTTTCTAACCGACATGCTATCAGACTCTAAGTATTTTCTACTGTCTAAGCGCTGATCATCAGATCAGTAATGCTGCACCTGTGCATTTGTTCATGCTGGATTAGTGACCTCTGATTGGAGTGCAATTAAGCGTGAGGCAGAGACCACTGATTCATAATGAGCGGCTCTGAGCTTTCAGCTGGGAGAAATTTAGAGGTCTGACATACCTTAGAGCTCATATTGTCATATTGGCAACACTAGGTTACAACAGAAAAAACACATGTAACTGTCAGTTTCCATAACGCCAGCTTAACTGCAGACAGGCAGAGAAAGCAACACATTACTGTAAGCTACACTATGAACATGGAGTAGTCCGATGTTTTAAAGTTGTAAGTACATCTACACTACATGAAGGGCTGTATCTTAGCAACAAACCTTTTGAAAAAAAAAAATCAGTTTGTGGGCTGTGGGGTGGCAGGGTAACCACCACTGAAACTACGCAGACGTTCTTTTTAATATGAAACACGCTGCAAATGTGGTACAATGGCCTGTGGTGCTCTGGACTACGATTTAAAATAAATTCCTCTTCAGTCCTGCCTCATGTTGAAACTGTAGGCATAATTTCAGCTACTCACAAATCATAAGTGCCTTTTAACAGAAACACTTAGGTAATTAGAGGCTAACAAAAGAAGCATCGTTTAAGTGTTGCCATGATAAAAGATTAATGCTCATTTGAGCCATTAAGAAGGATTACTGGATTGAGAAGTGATAACATATCAGACCAGCATTACCCAAAGAGGTAGCACATCCGTATAACCAGTATTAATAGTGCCTCATACTTCTTCTCTACTAACTTCGCAGCCTGAATGGCTAGGACAGAAGTAGTCCATCTATCACTGGGAAATGCAGGCTCTGGACATGAAAGTCCTTCAACAAGGCCATTTCTTCTCCCTATAAATCATATTCATGACAATAGCAGGGCTATTACAGTTGTTAGCTTGATTTTGTGAGGTTTGCTTTCATGTCAGTATGGACCTTCACACTGCTTTGTTTCCCCCCCTAAATATTTATGTTCTTCTGTGTCCTTATGCCACTATTAAAGCTCAGTTTTAATCAGTTTTAATGCTCTTATAGCTTACGTAGTTTACATTACAAACATCATCAGTGATATTTGTTTGACCCGACGTTTCCAAAATGTCTATTTTTTTGTTAATCCCCAGGGAAATGGCATAACTAAGTGGTTAAAAGTGTTTTATGTCTTTACCATCCAGAAGTAGGAGGCCTGAAGGATAGATTGTTATTTCCAAGATGTCACTCAAATTGCACCATCCCCCCTACCATCAACAACTCCATCACTATGATCAATCAGCAATAAAACATCTGTAAGAGGAGGGCCACAGTGGGGTTAAGACCTGAATTTCCTGAAATATTTTATGAGAACAGCCATCACTTGTGACCCTCAGAGCCTGACATCAGTAAGAGGGAGGGAGGGTGTATCTCTGCATTACCCTGCCATCCATCTCCAGGGTAACAGATTGCTGTATGGACTGATGGGAGACGGCAGTCTGTGTATCAGAACGTTGGTTTTAAGTCACCATATTCATCACGCTTCACACCATCAGTTTTGCAGATGACAGAAACTTTAGAAATAAGTAAAACACAGAAACATCAACAATGTTGTTGGACCTGGGTGTGTCAAATTGTTCATTGTCATTAAGAGGTTCTGTTGATAGATCTGATGGTAGATTGGGCAGATTTATTAGGATAGATATGTGCAAGATAGGGCCTTGTCACTGGTGATGGAGTGGAGATGCAGGAGAGCTGATTAAAGGAGTTAGACTGGAGTGGTGAAGGCGAAGGTGGGCTGCAGCTTGATTTTAAGGCAGATAAGACCACAATGAGGTGCTTAAAAAGATTCTTAGATGCTATTAGTTGCTGTTGGGTAACTCGACCACATTAAAAGAATATCTTCTTCTCCTCTGCAATGTCAGGACTCCTGTCTTTGTGTTTCTGTGTTTGTCTCCCTTCATCCACCAGGAGGCGCCTGGTTCTGGTCGGCCTCCTTACACACCTGCTGATGGTTTCCTCATTAAACGGAGTGTTCTTAAGCTGCTGACTGCCACTACCTCGACGCCAGAGTGTTTGCCAGTTTTGGGTACTCTAGCTGTGCTGTGTTTGCTGAGTCAAGCTGAGTTTTTGTCAACCTGAGTTTAACTTTGTTTTTATCTTTGCCTCTCGGCAGGAAGTCAT